TAGAGTGCCATATCTTACAAAGATCAGAGTATTAACGAAACAAACAAGCATTTTATGGCTTCATGTTTCCTTCAAACCGCATTGCTATTTTTTCTAACTTTTCCTTTTGTTTAGCGCTGTAACCTATTAAGTTATATCTTTTAATTTATACATGTGAACTATTTTCAATGAGCATTTTTTCATTTGCTCCAGAAGTTTGGGTACATTTTCTTATAGTACCTGTCATTCTTTTTTATATTACATATATACACTCCGAAGTTCGGGATAATATTTTGAATATACCAGAAATATATGTAAAAGTAGTTGCGCTGCTGTAGAGCATTACGCAGAGCCTGAGTTCAAGCCCAGTTTTTCTAATAGCGGTTGCCCCTCTGTTGGTAATAGTAAACCTCCGAGTGTATTCTGTCATGGAAACAACTTCTCATTAGAATACAATTGCCGTTCGGAGTCGGCGTAAAACTGTCCTTTACTTTGTGTGACAAAATCACGCACGCCGCATATCGGAGGAGAAGCTAGGCCAAACGCTAACATATTGTTCAAGCGATATACATATTCGTCGTTTAAAGTACAAAAGCGCGTATCGTGGTTCTGCAAAACCTCGGAACTGAAATTTGTGCCAAAAAAGATATTTGGTCATCGGAAGCTCCTGACATCAAGCCCTTAGCCATTTATAATAAAATATCGATATAATAAAATATCGACTTAGACATAAGGAGAGAAGATTATTAAGTTTAAAAGAGAGGACCGTTTTTAAAATTTAGGCAACCTCCCATACGAGGTTTTGCATTTCCTTGATGCGCGGTTTTGTGCTTTAAACGAAGATATGTAGAAGTATTGCATACATATTTTGATGCCTTTTCAAGTATAAAATCCACTGAGAAACGGAAGAAAACGGCATCCCTATGATTTCAACTCATGCCAAACGTTTCGTAAACAAGCAATTCTGAACAAAAAACTGTTTTTCCACAAAGATGTTTAAATGGAAGCATTACAAATATGGAAAAATAGCAATCCACAAGGCAGTAGGTCCTTTTTAAAGCACATTTAACAAAAAAATAAGCTTCTAGTTTCGAAGCTAGCACAAAATAAAATTTTTTTATTTGTTGTTTACAAAAAAAATATTGTCTAGTATACAAGTCAAAATTGTTAAATATATATCGCTTTCATTCATTTCTTCATAGAGTTGGTGCTTCTTTTATAGGAAAATTCATACGGCTTATGAACAGATTCATACCATGTAAATGCACCATAACAATAAATCACAAATTTTGTTTCACACCAACTCCAATATTGAGTAAAATATATTTTAATTTTATCCAAAGAAATAACGATATTGTCGAAATATACTAGAATTGGATAATACTCACTTCTCTGAAAGTCATGAGGCCTATGGGTCCCAAAGTAAATTCCGTTTTCACGTTACTTGAAAGACATGTACAAAGACAATATCGAAATGTGTAATTTCAGTGTCCCAATTATATGAGAAACAATCTTATCCGATATAGAAAACTGTAATAGTCCCGGCTAACTACATTGTGTAATAATCAGATGACATAATGACACTAAAAAATTTTAAAATATGTTCACTAAAATTTTATTAATGTAAAAACAAAGATTTTGGCAAGTAGTTATCGAATTTAGTGTAAAATTTAAACGTTTTTAAGATAAGATATTAATAATTTTTAAAAGGTAAATGTTAATACAACTATTTTATTTATACTCCCAAATTTAGGATTTAAAAACCCCTCTACCAAAAAACTTAAATTGGGTAACCCCGCTTCGATTTTTTTACAATTGAGCAATTGTCAAAAATCTCCTTTTTAATCAAAAAGTTGTTTATTGAAACTACCTTCTTTTTTGTGTCATGCAAATAACTTCGAAATATAAGAAAAGCAATTACGGAAAAGTATGCCATGGATTGACTTGTTTCGTTGAAGTTGAATAGATATATATCTCCAATTGTAGAGTCCCAAGAGAATAGTGCATTTACCTATGACTCTTTGACATAATGGAATTAACTAAAATATTTACATATATCTAAAAATTTATTGCACGCCCCTACTTTCGTATAACGGTAAATTTAGAAACCCTGAAAAATGTGCTTCTTCGGTGACTAATGAAACCATTCCGCTCCAGTTTTCACGAATACATAAATGGACTCAAAATGGGCGTTGCTCAACTAAATTTTGTTTGTATGTATGCGGTGGAAATGTGAAAATGCTTTTACTGTTCTAAATTTTCAAATCGCTAAAATGGAAACCCGAAAATGATGCTGTTTGAAAGAATCATGTTACTTTTTTCTTTGTATAGTCAATTACCTTATTTGACAAGTTGACCCCAGCTGATAGCTGTTTTCTAGCCAATAAAATTTGACGAAACACACTCGCTAGCGATCTCAAAGTAAAATTTTGAATCGATATCGAATGCTGCGATTCGCGCCCCGTTCAATTTGAGTTGTTTTCGCATTTTGTTTTACTTCGTATTTGAAATTAAATTTTCTAATACAGATAAATGTAATGATTCAGAAATAAATGAAATAAAGTGAACGCAAAGTTGAAAAAAAGACGAAAATGAAAACAATGAGAATTACATAAAAAAAAGGTAACTGAAGGGATTGGAAAACTTATTGAAATTTTTCGATAGGAATCGCAATAAATTTGGTAATAAAAAAATTATTTATAGAAAGTTATCAAGTTATCGAATCAGCGAAGTTTATAGTTATCGAAAATTTACCCAGTATCTAACGTATCGAATGTTTATTTTGTTGAAATTTATAGACACAAAAACTTAGTTGTCGAAATCTACGGATAGTTATCGAGCTATAAAACTTTATGGGATTATCGAAATTTGTAAAGTTAATGAAATTTATTAAGTTCATTATTTATAGAGTTAACGAAATTTATAGAGCTATCGTAATGCATCGAGTTCTTTCAATTATGCAGTTATCGATTTTTATTTGCTCACTGACATTTTTCGATTGAACGAATCGATGTTTTTGGAATTTTCAAAATATATTGAGCTATCAAAATTTCAAGGGCTATATAAGTTTATCAGGTTATCACTACTTATCGAAATTTATCCTGTTATCAGAGTGTAGCGAGTTATCGAAATATCAAAGTTAACCAAGTTATCGAAATTTATAGAGGTATCCAAAGTTTATCGAGGTACCGATTTATATCGAGATATATAGAGCTTCTCATAAAAATAGAAATGCCGTTCGGGGTCGGCGTAAAACTGTAGGTCCCTCCCCTTTGTGTGACAACATCAAGACGCCCACCACAAAGCGGAGGAGAAGCTCGGCCAAACACTAACATATGTGTAAGCGCCGTTCTATTATTATTATTACACGTTGTTGAGTTATCGAAATTTTTAGAGCCCTCGAAATGCAAAATTATCGCAATTTATCAAAACTAGTCAAGTTATCGAATTGTTTCAGTTATCGGACTTTAGTGTTTTTTAAATTCTTCGAATTATCCATGTGTATCAAATTATCGAAATTTATCGACAAACTGGAATTTATCGGATTAATTCCAAGTTCTGCCCAAGTCCTCCAAAGAGCTTCAAAGATATAGGAAATTGTAGTCACGTTTAAGTTCCAAACTAATTTTGTATCTTATAAATTAATCGACCTGCTAAATTAGAAAACCTCTCCAGGTCTCTTGAAACAATAGTTTCGACAGTAACTGGAACTCCTAGTGTAGTATTAATATTAAAGCATACATTTAGGAGGCATTTCCGTTCACTTAACAAACCTTTAGCTATGGTAAGGGGATCCTTTAATCTTATCCCACTGTGTTCAAACTTTGTATTAACAACAAATTGTTTCTGGATCGTAACTAAACTGTGGGCTAGAAAAAAAGTGGATTAAAAAATACTTAAGACCAACCTAATAAATATTGATTTTGATTAAAATCGTAGATCTGTTTTTATATATGTATTGCGGTATAAAGAAATACATATGTATGTATCACTAATAATCATACACATTTTCCACATTGTCCTTCACTGTTCTAATATACCACGCGGTTTTTTTTCGCCAAGGTATTCATACGCTTTTATGTTCGAACAAAAACCTAACCCAGATTTGCTTCACGGAAGTTATGAATGAATAAACATTTGGGGAAAATATCATGTAATACATGTAAACTCCTACAGGATTGTACTCTGTATGCCTGTGTATGTAATTATATTTGAAAGCAGCAACAAAATCACATTACATACCAATGAAGCACAGCACAAAATGTAATGATGGCAAAAAACACAGCACCAATTCATTCATAACTAAAAGAGGACATTGAACTTCTGCATGTGGTTCCTTCACACTTCCCTACAGACATACGTACATATGTAATGTGTGCGCGTACATAGGTACCAATCTTATAAACAAAATTACAGCTGAAAAAGACCGTTGTATGCAGAACATTAACAGCAACAAAAGACTGTGTGCTTTTGGGCATGAATGAGAGATTCGAAAGCTTATTGGCCGTTAAGTGCGCGGAGAACGAGAGTGAAACCGTGCTAAGGAGTGTTAATTTAAATTGGAGTAGAGTGTGTTCAACGAAAATGAATGAGGTGTTTTACCGAGTATATATTGGTTGTATTGGGTTTGAGAGCAACAGGCTGCGTGGCGTGCCGGCGGTAGTGATGGCGGTGGTGGTGAGTTCCCTTCGCATGCCTGCGGTGTAAGTGTATTGTTGGTGCCACCCATGCACGTTTGTTGACAAACAAAAGTGCAACACGTGCTGCCCAAAAGGGCGACATTTTGTTGCTGCAAACTTGCTTACTTTCGCTTGTAATCGTTGTGTTAGCGGAAGTGTGTATGTGTGTAGCAGTTGCTATATGTAGGCGCGCAAAACGTGTGGAGCGCAGGCGTCAGTATAACTGTAAATAACACCACAAGCTGTCAAAGCTGTCAGTAGAGTTATCTGTTTTTACTATATGCCACTGCGTGTATACATATGTTGGTATTTGAGAAGTGAAATGCTTTTGTAAAATATCGATTTTTACCGACCGTCATCACAGTTGGATACAATGTGAATTGCTGCACGGTTGATTCGTTTGGTGAAAAAATGGCAGAAGCATAAAAGTGGCTTAAAAATGTTTAAATAAAGCAAAAATAATGCAGTATACGCGTAAGGCGTAAACCAGAATAAGGAAAATTGCACAAATATTTAAGACTGAGTTAATAAGTAAAAAAAAAAATAGAATCTACTTTGGGGCGTGCAACAGCAAGTGAAATAAGCCAAAGCCTGTGGTAGTGCAGTTTATATTTATTTCTTCCTAATTTATTGCATTTTCTCTACGAAAGCGAATAAACTTTTGGGTAGTGAAAATATCGAATAGCAAAAAGCTAAGCATTTATTAAAATCCAAATTCAAAACGCTAGCAATATGATTAAAATGCGACCATATGTGCCATCGAATCGTATCGCCGTACGCGACTCCATCGACGAGGAGATCAGTGACGATGTGGATGATGACGTCTTCATTAAGGATGCGCGCACCGCCAAAGTAAGTATACGTAGACAGAAACATTAAATTTACACATAGTATGTACTGAGAATCTAAGTGAAAGTAATTAATGTCCCTTCTGTCCTCCTACACACATACACACACATACAGTTAAGCGAAGAGAAGGGCCTCAAACGTCCGCTAATGGCGCCGCGTCGCAAGAATGGCAAATTGCACAACTCCGTGCCGATTATGATGAAACATCGCCGCTGTTGGCGTTGTTGTGAGCCTTTTTGCTATGGCCTTGCCGCACTCACTGTCCTCATTGCCTTGATTAGCCTAGCAGCGCTCATTTTGACTATGTTCCCCATACCCTTGCAACGCATCAAAGTATGGCTGAAACGTGATCCTACAGCGGCCGAAGGTGTCGATTATGCTGCGCTAAGTGGCGGCGCTGTCCAATCGCTTACGTATGGCAGCAGCATGGGCACAGAATTTGTGCCCTGCACTCAAATTAGTGTACAGCGTATTTGGACGCAAACTTTTCCGCGCATGAATAGCGAGAGTCCGGTGCGTAAGGCTGATTTAGATGGTGACGATGTGGAGGATATCATTTTTGGCTTCGGTGTGGGTGAGTGACAGTTCAAAATGCAGTTGATGCTTTTGTGGTTATTTAAATTAATAATTGGATCTTCCAGATGACAATATCCAATATGAAGGCTTCACATTGCCCAAATGCAAATCGGCGCAGGGCGGTGACGAGGTGCCTTGTGAAGGTGGCGTTATTGCGATAAATGGCGCAACAGGCAATTTACTCTGGCAGACATGGAGTGTGGCAAATGTTTTCTCGCTGCTCTGCACTTTGGATATCGATCGTGATGGTCATCCCGATTGTGTGGCTGCCGGCCGGCTGGGTGTAAGTGTTTCGCTTCAGCGAAAATGTCGGGATTTTGGATTTTGTAAGAATAGGGAAAATTCGGAAATACTGAGGTACAGGCATCGCTAGCGTGCACATTCTATACCAGTCAAGCTAGAACTGATTGGCAGACGATTCTAATACATATTTACTTTGAAAAATATGTCCATACGAGCTGAGATCGGTTCAACACTGTTTGGGTGTGACAGTTGTGAGTCAATTGATCCCTGAAAATTTAAATAGTTGAAACTGTATCTGCAAAACTTGTATTCATGAGTAAACATCTTAGCTATCGTAACCCCAGTAGAATATTTGTAACTGTTTGTTGTGTAACCCAGCAGAAAATCTGTAATTGCTTCTTGTGTGTACAAATGAAAATTCATGGACTGGTTCAAGCCCATTTCGGGAATAGTTTAAAACCCTTTCCGGGTCATTTCGAAACATGTTGAGAATAATTTCCAGACTAGCTCATGACTATTTAAGGGACCATTTTGTAGCTAGTTCAGGACTATTTTGAAACTACACTCGGGGTTTTCGATTATTTTTCAACCATTTTGGAACTAGTTTAGGATGATTTTGGGACTAATAAGGGACCAATTCGGAACCATATCATAACTTCTTCGAGAACATTTAGGGACAAGTTCACGGCTTTTCGACTGTTTCGGGCCTTTTTCAGGACTATTTCTGGATCATTTCGGGACTAGTTCGGTACTATTTCGGGATCTGTTCCGGACTATTTCTGGACCACTTCGGAGCTATTTCGAGACTAGTTTACGCCTATTTCAGGACAATTTCGGTACTAGGTTTGGAGAATAGGTCAGGACTATTACGGGATTAGATCGGGTTCAAGACTAATTTGAGATCTTTTCGGGACAAAACCACTTCAGGACTCCTTCAAGATAATTTTGGGACTAGTTTGGGATCATTTCATGTTAATTTGAAACTATTCACGAAAAAGCCCCGAACTATTCTCGTAGTGGTTATGAAATGACTGGCTTCTAAAAATGAATAAAATGACTAATTTCATATAAATGTTTAATTTCTAACCTAACCTACATATTTACATATGTTTGTAACTGAATCGCCTAATGCGTTGCCAGTTTGTTTAATCATCAAATTTCCTGACTACCTGATACTAACGCCTTTTTTCATTATGTCTTCCAGCTTGATAAACTTAGATAACTTTTTGATGCTTTAACCATTTAGAGAAACAGGAGATAGTACCCAAAGACTAAATGTTGCCAAAGTGCAGCAAAAGAGTTTATACAATACAACATCAAAATTTATTAGCCGCCAAATTCACCTTGGCCTCTGGTGCTTTATGATTTGGTAGGCGACTGTTTGAAATAGTTGTCAACACAAAAATACTCGACAAATGAGGCAAAAATAGGATGGTTTCTTGAAAATCAAATGTTAGGTTGGAACTGGACGCCGCACACTCTAGTTGTGGGGGACTTATTACTGTAATATACCATTATATACGGTCGGGTATTTTATTCCTTCACTCGGAAACAAGTTGGAAAGAATAACCGACTGAACAAATTGTGGAGGTGGAAGAGTAGCTATGCCTACCAGACTGGTCTAGAAGTGTAGCCCAAAGGGCTGCTTAAACTTATTGTTATTGCGCCAGATTCTGCAGAGAGAACCCATTGGTATAGAACAATGAGCTCCGATGACGCCGTCAAGAACCATTACTACAAATTTTTGAGTTTCAAAAGGTTGTTGTGAAGCCGCAGCAATGACATCAGGCTACTTTCTGGTTACGATACTTGTCACAACCAATCGCGATTCCACTTGCACCAAATAGGTGTATTCAAAGAGTCGGAATGCCGGCTCTGCCTTGAAGGCAATGAAACTTATGAGCATATTCTCTGTCAATATCTGGCTTTGTCCAGACAAAAATTTATCCACTTTAAATTTTCAACGGTCGAACCTTTGTTATAAAGAATTCGACTACTAAGGCCCTTTTAGGATTCATTAGGGAAGCCGAAGGCATCTTGTCCACACTGGGTTAGGGACTCTCTCTTTAAGAGATACCAAAGATCCTTTAGGTCGCGGTGTCTTAGACCTAAGAACTAACTAACCATAGCCACACTTATCGGTCCGTCTGTGTAACGGCTAAATTAATCAATTTACATCACGTCACCCTTAAGAAGTGGTTGTATGCCTCGTTTATTGGCATCTCCGTGCCATGCATGTCTGGTATCCTCGCAAATATTGACGTTTATATAGCCCATTGATGCCAACGCAGGGCGGCATTGTTAAAAAATGTGTCTGGCTATCGACGAAGATAGTGACTTTTCCGGATGAAGGCTGAGTAGTAAAAGAGTAGCTGGCTTCTCGTAGTATAGGCTTGTAAGAGGGGGCTATCGCTTGGCAAACGAAAATACTGACCAATCTGTGAGCCTCTGAGTGAAGACTTACGCCTTTTTGTTGTTCCATCTCTGAACCATACGTACAGATCATTGTACCATTATCTGACATTGGTAGACTTCTGTATCGTTCTTCTTTGGTCGAGCCTCTAAAGGTGGTTTTATGTTGAAGTTTCCAATCTAATCTTTGATTCCACTAAGTCGATCCCAAAGTTGCTGTGTGCCCAAAGTGTTCGGTTTCCATATGCTGGCTTCTGAGGACGTTTTTTGTGGCTCCACAATGAGCGTGTAGCGGTTGTAGATGAAAAATCTTGTTAAGGCCTCGAATATACCCTACTCACCACTGCTTGCGAGCTTTTACATTTTGCCAATAGTTTTGTTGTTATTCCCTTTATCAAGAGCTTTTCATAAGACAAACGCTCCCAAAGATTAAAATTGGTCTGATGACGGTGTTGCACATATCATAGGTAACGTTTTCGCGTCAGTCCCCATTGCTTGTAAACTCTCTGCCCTACATTCTTTTTCAATTCGATTTGGAGTCCAATATAATGCCTCGGCATTTCGCTTGTGCACAAGATAAATTCTGTTTTTGAGAGCTTAACCGGTAGTCTGTTCTTGTTGGAAGAGATGTCATCCAGAGCTTTTAACATTAGGTCATAGGGTATTGGTGTACAGTACTCATTGCCATCTGGCAAATCCCTCTTTTTTGCCGACTTCGGTAGTCCATGAAACGATTAAGATGTGTCTATCCTTAAACAGATATCTACCCGTTTATTTCAACGCTGTACAAAGGATAGCTCTGTAGCCATGAGAACCAACTTAACTTGTGTTGTATTGTGAAAAATAATCCTATACATTATATAACATCCCTTGGGGGTGAAATTGTTCGATTGCACAGATTTATAGGTGCATACGTCAATCTCGTAGCTAATAGGCTGCCCAGATAAGCCAACAAGCGGCTACTTTTGAAGCGATTCAATAGAGGTTCTAGAGTACGTGAAGCCCTGAAAGACAGAGCTTTCGTGCACCTCTTCCCCGACTCAAATTTAAATGTATCGTCTTTATAGAAATTTCACTCATAAAACGAACAACTCTTCGCCCACAGATGATCTTCGCCATCAACGGCCGTAATGGCAACAACATTTGGGAGTTCCGCGAGGTTGAGGTGGAAACAAATTCGCCTATAGTAATGGATCTATATACGATTAACATCGTACGTGATTTAGATGGTGACGAAATATCTGAGATACTCGCAGCACATCTCGAAGAACGTGAAGAATCCAAAGCGGGACACATTAAAATCATTTCCGGCAAGACAGGTAAAGTTATACGCACCATACCAACACCTTTCAAGGAGGAAGTGTTCGTGCCACTACAAGTGCTCACCAAAGAGGACGGCACTGAGTTGTTGATGATCACTACAGGTGGCCAAAATACACCTGGCGGCGTTTACACAATAAGACTGCTGTCGCTAATGCAGTTTACAAGTGAAAAAGAGTTTACGCCGCTATTCCAAAGTAAACACACCGGTGTCATGGTACCGGCGGTGATTACCGACATAACCGGTGATCAAATTTCGGATATTGTGGTATCGTCATTCAATTCGACTGTGTTTGCTTTTGATGGCCACAATTCCAGCATGTTGTGGAACTACACATTTCCGGCAAGTGAAAGCGTAAGCACCATTGTGCCGGGTCACTTCAATCACGACAATGTGACAGATTTTATGGTAAAGTATAATACTGGACCCGGCTTTCCAGTTTACTATTACTCTCAAACGACTATATTGGATGGTAGAAATGGCAAACCATTGCTGGATGCGATGATGACCGACTCAGGCGGTTCGAATAGTTTGTTGGGTGGCGTTTCGGTGTCACAAACTTTTGGTGGCGATTTCTATTTGCATTGGCAAATGCAATGCAGAAATAAATACGATGCGAAAGATGCCTATGAATTCATACCAGGTAAGTTTTATTGGAAATACAAAGAGTTAAAGTATTGAAATGGTTCTTCTTCCGCGCTCAGACAGCGACATCATACTGCAGTCACGTGCGGACACATGCCGACTGCGTTACAATACCTCGACTGTACTTAAACTCTATGCGATAGCGCGCCACATCGAACCGCCAGGCGCAGTAATTTTTAGTACAGGTGAGTGTGATGCATTGGGTAGCAGACAAGACTCAAGTACATACGTTTTTTTTCGTTTTTCCCTAAAAGACGATATTGACGTACACCTTAACCACACACAACGCCCGCAATATGCCAAACAGAATTCGAAATCTCCGCTTAAGCATCCCAAACTTTTAAAAAAGCTGTTAGCCAATCGCGATGAACTGCTGAAGAAAATCGCAGCCGGCGCTAATTTAGAGAAACTGGAGCAGGAAGCGAAGTTTGAGACTGCCGCCAATTACAAGGGGAATCCGTTGCGGAGTTCTTTGTTTGACCAGAATTCATTGCAGGAAATGCTTCCGAATAACGAAATACCCGCCGAAAATATATATGAACCTGCCAAGCAAAATGGTTATGCCAACTACTACGCCGGTGGTTATGGCGCAAATGGCAACGTGCCGCTGCGTGAACTGGTATTAAAACATATATTTTAAGCGCACGTCTGCCTTCAGCCTATTCATACTTTCTTTTTTTGTTCTACTCCTTCTCAGCAAAAGGCCTACGAGTCTGAGACGGGCGCACGTGTGCCCGAAGACTACGACGCACTCTATGCCGACAATGACAATGAAGTGCCTCTATCGGTGCCGCAGAATGAGCATCCCATAAGGTTACGCACAAAGTATCCCGGCAATCGTGACGTGCGTAGCGATATCACCTCCTTTGAGGATGAGCAAAATGCTACGCAGACTGTACCCACTGGCGGTGTGCCACAAAATAGTTTGGAGAAACAAGAGCCACTTAGTTTGTGGGATCTCGAAATGGAGAAGGAGGAGCGTGATGCAATCAAGGAGTCGCACAAATACGATTACTCGTCTACGCGTGATGACGCAATAAAGAAGAGTAAGCGTGGTCGTCCCACGCGTGATGATACTGCACAAGCGCAGGTGGCGGAAGATGCCGAAACAACTTCGGGTAGTCCTACCACTGGCGCCGGTGAATCGGATGAATGGTTTTTAGCCTCGATCTCTTCAACGGGTGTGCTCTTGAAGTCGCTAAATGGCACACGCTCTTCCATAGATTTTGCATTCGTTGTGAATATACGCGAATCGGAAACATATCCGCCGCTCTTTTTGCCACAGGATCTCAATTGTGTGGAGGAGAAGATAAGCGCATATAAGAGTGAGAGCAGGATGTTTTAGGTTGTGTTTGCACACACAGGATTGTGTAATTTCTTTTTCTTCTATATTTTAAGGCTACACCCTGGACAATCTACGCATACTGCGCAAACAATTCCTAAAGCAATGTTTAAGTGATCGTCTGGTAAATGTGACGCCGCATGTGCCGCAATATGAATCACAGTTGATCGTGACACGCATCGGCATTTCGTGCACGTGTCGTACACTGCAAGCGGGAGAGGTGTGCTCCGAGCTGGATGATATACAGACGCAGCGTTGGACTGAGTACATGGGCAATGGTGGGCATGGTTACTATGCCAATTAGAATTAGGAGTTAGTTAAGGCGAAGATATACTAGTGGGGGGTAAGGAAGAAAGTTTGACTATGTAACTAAATTAATTTAATTTTTTCTGATTGCACAACAGTAACAACTTCTTTAGTTTCTACTTTTTGGGTTCTGAAATGCATTTTTACAAATTATTTTGTGTATGTCAATGTTTATTGTCATTGAAAAGTGTGTATTTTTACTTAAAAATGTCCTCTATGCTATACGCAACTAAATAATAAACAAGTTTTAAATCATCAACCAAGAGTGCCGTTTTTCACGCTCAAGTTCTGAGTTTTGAGAATAATTTTTACGTGAGGTCACACTGGTGCATTTGCGAGAAATGCTAAAACGCGAGCAAGAACGGTTAGTTAGTTATTTATTTTTCTGGGAGCCCCTAGCCCAATGTGGCCAAGTTACCTTCGGCTTCCCTAATGAATCCTAAAAGGGCCTTGGTAGACGAATTCCTTATAACGAAGGGTTCGACCATCGAAAATTTAAAATAAATCAATCTTTATCTGGCTAAAGCCGGACAGTGACAGAGAATATGCTCCGAAGTTTCATAAGCCTGGAGGCAGACCCAGCATTCCGACTTTGTGATCGTATCTATTCGGTGCAAGTGGAATCGCAATTGATTGTGACGGGTAATTTCTATTTGCTAGCAAATGTCGTTTCTGTAAAAAGGGTAGCCAAAGAGCCTGGTCTGTCTAAGGCCCCCATCGCTCCCCAGTACTTACTGCGTTCCGAGTGTACCCACTCAGTAATTATGGCTCGCGAAGAGGACTAACTGATACACAGAATAGTTTAGGTCCCGAAAAGGAAATTAGCGATACTTCACGTGCCAACTTGTCGGCGATCTCGTTGCCTTCGATTCCGCGTTGGCCTTGTACCCAGCACAGTGTTACCGTGTTTTTGGTTGCCAAAATTTGTAGCGTGTCAAAGCAGTCTCTAACCAGCTTGGATTTGCTAGTCTGATGATATGAAAAAATGACTAAAAATTCGCCTTTCAAGGTTTAATTTTGCGCAGTTTAAGAGTGCGACTAAATATTTCAGCTTGAAACACCGTGGGCCGTTTGCCAATGGGAATTGCAAGTTTGGTGCTAGCTCCAAAGATACCTGCACCCGCTCTGTCCGCCATTCTTGAACCGTCTGTGTACCAGTGTACGTATCTGAGATCAAGTGCAGGGAGTCCATTTGCCCAATCTTCGCGATCAGGGATTTTCACTTGAAATTTTCTAACAAAGCAGATCTCTTTAGTTATGGAGTCAGAGATTCCACATATTACCAACCCTTGTATCTTCCCAAGAATACCTGCATGAAGCTTCTTTGCGAAGAAGCCGTCGTAAGATAGCCGAAGTTGCAGCTCCTTCATGGCTGCTGTTTCCTGGATAAAAATATGGAGACGAGCCCATCCTATGGATGCATAAGACACAATCGGGCAAGAATGGAAGAAAAAGAAATTTTTGCAAGAAACCCGTAAGCAAGTTGCACAAGTGTGACGTCATACAAACAGCGATTCCGGAAAATTCACTGAGAGCGGAATAGCGGTACCGATATGGGCACCACCTTTGTTCTGTACATCATGAATATATGGACATATGTAGAATAGGTAGATAGATAGAGGTGTGCTCTACGACCTATTGTACTCTCTTCTCTTCAAAACACTTCATCTAAGCCAAGACGCCACAGAAAGTTCAATAGCGCCTTCGGGGGTAGGGAATGGATGTGCTCAAGCTGTGGCCTAGACTCCTCTCACGTCTTCTGCAGACTGATCGCACTCGGTGAGAATGTGAAGCAGTGTCTTGTTGGTCAAGTTACTGAGCCCGAAAAAAATCATTAGCATAAGCCTGACATATGTAGGTGACCCTTTATTCTGCAGTGCCCTGTAAGCATCCCTGTTAGGGAACGTTTTTCAGTGCACGGATGTGGTATAAACACTCGAGCTGGCTGGTTTAAACTAACTCCACGTCTCCGCCTTCTACTAAATTCGTCTTAACATCTGTGAAATTTCTGCTTTAACTTAGAACCGTTTTCTCATGTGGGCAACTTGCTGTCTTAATATATCATTTTGAAACTGGCACCAAGCCAATCAGATCGATCTGTACCCAATGTAAATGGCGCGGTAACATGAAAACTGAGTTATCAAACTACGAAATGACTGCTGATGTTAAGACAGCGATGGTAAGAAATTCGGCAAGACAGATGTGTTTTAACAGTACAGAATCTGTAGAAGGTGGAGACGCGTAGTAAGATTTTTACGTAGAAATCAAAACCAAACAAAATTCTATATTTGTAAAGCTGTGCTTACACGCATTTATCCTTATCTGACAACTCTCATGCAACGCCAAATATGCATAACTGAGCTAAAACGCAGTTTACGTAATCTCAGTCTAAGGTGGCACTGAAAAACTGGCCCTTCGAATTCTAAGCTTGTCTTTTGCAAAGCTTTGGAATCCCATTTTGTTGAACGCCGCCCCTACTTTCGATTAACGGTAAATTTAGAAACAGCGAAAAATGTGCCTCTACGGTGACTAATGAAACCATTCCACTCAAATTTTCAAGAAAATGGACTTAAAACGAGCGTTGCTTAACTAAACCTTATTTAGTTAATATATGTACTTATGTATGTATTTGTTTCAAACTACTATTTACAAATCAAAAGTTTCCAAATCATGGACATCCGTATTTTAAATCATTTACTACTATTTTGAAAACTTACCAAATTGTCGTGACCAAGTCCATAGTTCCTTAAATATTATATAATCTCCCGAAAACATAAAAATCTTTGAAATAAATCTCGTCTAATTTTTATTAATTTTCACTTGGTTACTAAAGTAATGAAGAATTGAAAACTTATATGGGAAAGCCATCGCCTTTGGAAGTTTTTCTAAATATCTTGAAAACTTGTAGTCCTATTGAAATATGATATATGAACGTGAGGTACTAAATTTAAAAACATTTCACTTGATATATCGTCCAGTTTATAAAAATTAACGTATACCCTAGATATTACCAGCCAAAGTTTAATTTTCCTTTCCTTTGTGGCCTTTGGCTTAGATATGAGACAACTCTCTCTCTGATCCAGTACTCCATGCAACTTTTAGCTGCAAGCAACAATCGCCTGATGTGAACGGTCTTTCAACTAATCGCTCCCAATGGAGTTGGGATGCAGCCAAGAACGATTACACCATGGGATGCAGCCAACTTTTGATTCAACTTAGTCGATGTTCAGACACGAAAGCTTTGTTGCGGCACATGCGAGCACAATTGAATTCAATACTTGAACAGTGTAAAAGCAGTCTAAACTAAAATAATTCACTGTGAATGCTTTTCGGCACGCGAACCATTCACCATTATTTGACAGTTGCCCATTTATTCAAGCCGATAGCAGCGACGTCGGCAGAGGCAGCGGCAAGCAATTTACAATCAGGCGAACGCAGAAAAGTTAAATTATTTCCAAAAAATAGACAAATGCTTTGTCAATAAAATAGTATATTGAAAGAGCTTTTAAGATGGGTATCTTGGAGAAGATCTCAGAAATTGAGAAGGAAATCGCGCGCACGCAAAAGAACAAAGGTAAGTTGGAGACGATCCAGCGGCCTTGGTGTGGTCGTGCTGCACGAGACGTGCGTGCTCCGCTGGCAAATGCGTTTTTTTGTTTTTGGCTCTAGCAGCTTACTAAATGCTTGTAGGTTAACAATTTTTACGAAAATAAATAAAATGAGCCAATAACTTTGCTCAAGTATAATTATACACAAGCATACTAAATAACTGACAAACTAAAAATTTATAGCTGCTGAAGATTTGACCTATTTTAAAATATTGTTTATTGGCGAAAAATAACATTAAAAGTTATTTGTCTTTGTCAGCAACTGAATACCATTTGGGTCTGTTGAAGGCGAAACTTGCCAAATATCGTTCGCAGCTGCTGGAACCAGCCAAGAAGGGTGAAAAAGGTGAAGGTTTCGATGTGCTCAAAAGTGGTGATGCGCGTGTTGCATTAATCGGTTTTCCATCCGTGGGTAAATCTACTTTGCTCTCTACGCTCACCAAGACCGAATCGGAGGCGGCGAACTATGAATTTACGACTCTTACCTGTATACCGGGTGTCATCGATTATAAAGGTGCCAATATACAGTTGCTCGATTTGCCGGGAATTATCGAGGGTGCTGCTCAGGTAAATATATCTACTTACATTCCAATACATACATAAATTGCAAATAGTTGCAAGAACTAATCATAAAATTTATTTCTTTTATTCAATTTAGGGAAAAGGTCGCGGTCGGCAGGTTATCGCCGTAGCGCGCACTGCCGATTTAGTCATTATGATGTTGGATGCCACAAAACCGAATGTTCATCGTGATTTGCTCGAACGTGAATTGGAATCGGTGGGCATACGACTGAATAAACGCAAACCAAACATTTACTTCAAGCAGAAAAAAGGTGGTGGCCTAAGCTTTAACTCTACTTGTTCACTGTCACGCTGCAATGAGAAAATGGTACAAACTATTTTGCACTCATTCAAAATTTTCAATGCGGAGGTACTTTTCCGTGAGGACTGCACCGAAGATGAGTTTATCGATGTGGTGACGGCGAATCGCGTGTATTTGCCCTGCTTGTATGTGTACAACAAAATTGATCAGATTTCAATTGAGGAGGTTGATCGCTTGGCGCGTGAGGCTAATTCGATTGTGGTCAGTTGTAATATGAAACTCAATTTGGACTATCTATTAGAGGCGTTGTGGGAGGCGTTGCAGCTGATACGCGTTTACACGAAGAAACCTGGTGCACCTCCAGATTTCGATGATGGTTTGATTTTACGAAAGGTAAGTTGAGTGGCGATTTAATACTCCCAACTAATTCTAATGTCAATTATTATATATATATATTTTTTTCATTATAGGGTGTCACCGTGGAACATGTATGCCATGCTATTCATCGTACATTGGCTGCTCAGTTCAAGTATGCGCTTGTCTGGGGCACCTCTACTAAATATTCGCCACAACGTGTCGGTATATCGCATATTATGGCCGACGAGGACGTAATACAAGTTATTAAGAAATGATAAATGCCGATGATATATACTAATTATTGCGTTGAGATTGTGTTAAATGTTGCTTTCGCATTGGCAAATTGCAGGCCTTCCCTTAAAACCTTTAATTACGTTTATTATTAAATCATACAAAAATATATATAATCGAAAAAAAATTGTTCAAATTCTGAGAGTAAATTATCTTTTATATGCAATTTGAAAAAACATT